TTCTATTTGTCCTGCTGGTTCCCTTCAAGGATTAATTACACAGTAACCTGCACCCTTAATTAGGATGTTTGTGACTCACATTTCTGAGCACGTGAACATGAACTGGAAGAGTCTTAGTTCTGATAAAAATCATGCAGCCCAGGATGTGGAAAACTATCATTGAACAGCTTTAGATCTATTAAACAGAAATAAAGGACAACTGAGGGAAATTCAACTTCATGTTACCTGTTCCTTGAGGTAACTGCAAGGACAATATTCTGCTTTACCTTAAATAAACCCAAGGAATGGAGAGTGAACATGGACCCCCCAAACTGCACAACTGTAAACACAGTGGAACATAATTTTTCAGTGATTGAAGTCTTTATGTTTGAAAGAATGCAAGACATTGCTGGTACTCTTGACCTCTACCATGGTATTCTTGCAGCCCAACTATCACTGTGGCTTTCGATATTTTTTCAAAAAGTTTTCAAAGGATGCAGTAAGCTGGCCCTGTGGCTTATGCTGTGTGAAAAGATGAAGCAAGTATTTTCCAAGTCTGAGCTAAATGTCCATTTTTTTGTTTTCTGCAGCCAGAGAAGACTACATTCTTACCCATCTGTTAATCCTACATGTCTATGTGTGAAACCTTGAAAAAATGAAGAGATTTAGCTGCCAATTTTAACTTATGCCAAAGGGATGTAGGTAGGTCTGCTAAAAAAAACCTGTCCATGACTTACTGAAAGTAATTGTGGCTGCTGACTGAGGAATTGTCATCCTACATAATCTTTCAAAGACAAACCTCAATTAGCAGTGAATGAAGCTGGGTTTTGGAACTCAACAGTAAAGAGGCTATGAGGGTTAGCACATCAGTGAAGCACAATAATTGTTTCACTATGCTTATTATCTAGTGCCTAAAGAAAGTAAGAACAGTCAGCTGTTAAACAAGCAGTGATAAGCTGTCAGAGCAATTTTATGCACTAGAGAAGATTCAATTCTCTACAATACTGCTCCTGGAGGAAAGGGGAATTTCAGCCAGCCTAGGTGTCTCATGCATAACAGTCCAAGGGCAAAGGGGAGGTGCTTTAGCTTTATATAGTGTCAGAATAATGAGAGGTTCCCACCCAAACTCTTCAATGTGATGTACCACAGGCTGCTCCATGTCCTTGTTCTGCACAGGTGGAAGATAGTCTCTACCTCATGTTTAGCTCAGGCTACAGTTACTTGTGGTTTGTTTTTATTAGTGCTCACAAAAATCCAAAAGTGGGTATCAAGAGGAAGGATCCAGGCTCTTCTTGGTGGTGGTGCCAAGCAATAGCACAAGAGGCAGTGGGAAGCAACTGCTGCAAAGAAGTTCCACCAGAACATGAAGAACTTCTTTACTGTGCAGGGAACAGATTGCCCAGACAGGGTGTGGAGTCTCCCTCCCTGAGGATATTCAAGAATCATCTGGACACAATCCTGTGCCATGTGCTCTGGGATGACCCTGCTTGAGCAGGAGGTTGGACAGATGGCCCAGTGTGGTCCCTTCCAGCCTGACTCACTCTGTGATTTCCTGAAGTTCATGTGATGAGCTGTGGCCCACTGGGAAAAGTGGCATTCCTCAAGCCAGGTTATTGTTGAATACTGGGAATTGATGCTATTCCACAAACAGGGCTCAGTCTTAGCCCATCTGCACAGAAACACCTGGAAAACCACCCAGTACCTTGCCTTCATTGACAGCCCCATCTCGTGCAACTCCAGCCCTTAACACACACAACCTCTACACACCCAAGCCCTGCTCATCTCCTTTCCCCATCCAACCATTCCTGTTCCCTGGCCATGATGAGTAAGTAGATTTGTTACAGAAAAGGCCCAGTGTGTGAAACTCTTACCGAGTTTACCAATTTCTTCAGATAAAATGTGAAGAATTATTAGTAACAGTGACATTCTAAGTAACATTTACACAATGAAGATTATGTAAAATATAAACATTTATGAGGCATGAATACTGCCTCTCTTCCAGCTGAAGACTGATACATATGTGGGCTTTATGCTTGCATCGCTTTTTAGAATCTTCTGTCCAAAGGAAACAAAGACTTTGCAAGTGTAGTCCTCAGCCCTGAAGCTACCCAGCACAGGGAATTTCTTACAGAACTTGAATGACAAAAAGGAAATTTAAGGTGCTAGGACAGACCAGAAATGAACACCCTGCAGCAGCCCTTTTAGAAATTTTTGCCATTTGTAGAGGCAACATCTGTGAATCTCTTGTCTTCTTACAGAGCAGAAGCCTTTGTAAGGCTTTTTCTCCTTAGGATGAAGAAGATCTTTCTCAGGTTTTTTGAAAGGAGAGCAGGCTTGGATGAAAATGTACCCATCACCAATCTAAAGCAACCCAGAAATTTCTGCTTTTAACAACTGCCATTTCTGTACAGTCTTCTGCAAGAACTATTGGTACAATAAATGCTGTAAAAAAAAGCATTGGTATTACACTCTGAGACATGACGTGGATTGACTTGAGTAAACCCTCATGTTTTTAAACCCATTTTCCCCTATTTTCATACATCTCTGGGAAAAAAAAAAGTCTGTAAATGTCTTTTTCATTATCTAGATCATAAGGGTTGCAAAACTGAGTCTGAGGACCACTTATATCTGATGGTTCTGCCCTCTTACACATATCCTCTGGTTAACTGCATATATTTCTGAACTCAGAGGTAGGATTAAAAATACAATCATCAGTATTAACTATATATGAGATCCTGGAAACAGTAGTCAAAATTAAATGCTGAAACAGAAAACAAAATAAAATTCACAAAAACAAATGTTACACCTTAAGAAAATTGGATTCATTAGAAGTTTATAGTTTTGTTTCTTCCTCTAGAGTTAAAAAAAATTACCAATTGTTTAAGTATACAATTTAAAAAACAGTGGTTTATGATTGACACTTCTCATTCAATTTTCTAAATTGCTTAAACAAAATCAAACACAATTCCTAAAGTTACAGCAATCAACAGTCATATGAAGGTATTTACAGTGCAGTGTTCTAACTCATGCTCTCAACTTCACAAAATGGCCACATAATTGATTTAAATGTCATCTGTGAACCATGTTGCACTCAGATGCACACCTGTTTTAGGGTTCCAGCCATATTCTGCTAAGAGGCTTTACAGGAGTAAATCAGAGGTTTAGATCTACGGCCTCTCCCAAACAGGGTTGCAGATGGCAGTTTCTCCTTGCAAAGACAGCCCCACTTCCAAATCGACAGCAGCCTAATGAGAGGCAATGGGATCTATACCACACAATTTATGTTATGTAAATGCTGATGTGCTGCTAGAACAACAATGGGAAAAATAAGTTTGGCCAGAAGCTAAAAAATCAGCTCTTTTTCCTTCTGCTTCTTTGATTTAATGAGGAGACATACTCTTAACTAATTGCTTTGGCAGGCCAGCAGGCTGCCTGTGCTTAATGAAACCATTAGGAATTCCACAAGCTTTCAGCTTCTAACACTAAGAATTTCCAACATATGCTTTTTAAGAGTGAACCTCAGAATTATTTTTCTTTTCAAAAGATGCTTTTTCTCTCACTTCTTCCCACTAGTTCCTGCATCAGGCATAACAATACACAAATACACACATGCACTTCAAACTGGGCACGCCTGTTTCAGGAAAACTTAATACTTACAAAGCACCCTGCTGACAAAATGGCATTCAGAGCAACTCTGAGTTTACAAATAATAGAAAACTACCTCCCTGACCTGATTGCTTCAGGCTTGCCACATACATCCACCTGCACTTTCTCAAAGCTCAACGGCTCTTCATTTTTCAGGTCTGTGTTGTGAACGTGCATCAAAATTCCCTTTTCATACTTAAAATAGAAAATGAAGAATCTAAACATTAGATTGGATCATATTTTTCATTCTTCACACGTAATTTGATTCCTCTTTTAGGCTAGGGCAACACTCTTTTCAAAGTTAGTAATCCATAAAAAGAAACAAGCAGACTAGCATTCGAACGACGGCAGGCTTTTGTCCTGGAGGCCATTTAAAAAAAAAATCGTGTAACATTTAAAGAAAAGATAACACTGCTGTAATTCAACTAGTTTTCTCCCTTATTTGTTTTATGCAGTAGGAAATATAATTATCAGCTTCCTACAAACAGCTGACATTTTGGTTAGATTGCAGCAGGATGGTGAACAACCAGAGATTTAAATGCAGAACCAATAAAGATGCTAACATGCTCTAACTGCAGCTTCCCAAACATCTGCTTAGTAGCCTAACCTTCTACACAAAGGGGTTCACTGAGCCAGAGAGAAGCTGTGCATGAGCTCTCTAACACTGGCCTGGATGGCAGCTTGAACAGGCTCAATATCAGATCACTCCCTGGGGCTTTTCTTCCCCTCCAATGTGCACGAAGTCTCTGACACAGTGAACATCCAGTTCTTTTAGTCAAACTGGAAATTCTGCTGCTATGTTAGCAAATGCATCACTACTCTACAGCCTCAGTGTGATAGTATTGTCCACAGGATAAAAAATTGACAGCTCCAACTGTCAAGCAGTGGTCACAAACCAAACAAGCCCACAGCCTTACACATCATTACCTAGCACCTCCATGTCTAGACCTGACTATCATTTAGTCAGCTCACAAACCTCCTTCTGATATTGCTCCAATCTCAATAGACAGTAGAAATCTTCAGGAAACAACTTCAAAGACTGCTAGAAGCTGCCTCTGGACACAGACAGGGCAAGATGACTAGGACCAAAGGAGAGTAGAATGCAACAAGGATTAGGACCAAAGGAGGGAAGCAGAGCCCTGCCATCTGCACTCCATGATCACTTGTAAAGGCAGCTCTGTGACAAAACTTTGTGCTTGGCATGAATGTTTTTGTGGTTCTTTTTAGGCACTAAATGTATCTAAGACATGATGTAAACCCTTGTACATGATTTTAGATTCCAATATTGCGGTTGACACGGAATTTTAGGAGATGTGATGCTCACAGTAGTGCTGTGAAGTCTGACTTGGATCAGTTTCTTCTACAACAGCCTCCAGGAAAACTAAAGATGTGGTTACTACAGGTGCACCAGCAGATTACATGATCTGAAATGAGTGGCACCTCACAGCCTCAAAGAACCTCCTGCACCTTAAAAAGCACAAAAAATATTGCAAGGAAGAAGAAAAAATTATGCTGGTGACTGTTACATGGAAAAACAATCTGCATATCGAAGTAAAAAAGCATCTTCTGATCAAAGACTCCTTCATTCCCAGACAATCTTGTACACAGGGTCTCCAACTTGAATCGTTCCAGTTTTGTTGACAGCGAAGTATTTCCCAAAGAGAGGGCTGGTTTTGTAAATGTGTCTCTCAGATGGGTCACATAAGCGGTAGCTGCAGAGAGAAAGCCCTTTTTTAGAAAAAGTGGTAGCAAAACCTACACATCAAAATATCAGTGATAAAAGAGATGATATGCAAATAATGATACCTTAATTTTGGTCATCGTACTAGGCTAAAAACTAATTAAATATCGTAGTTCAGAGAACCAGGTAGTTCAAAAGGAGGGAAGAAAGACTGACTGTATTCACTCATTCATGTTTAATACAAAAATCTTCATAAAAAGAAAAGTCAAAGAAGCAAAGTTAGACCTTTAGATAATTTAAATACCTGTTACCCCAAGCTTTCACTGTAGCAGATATGAAAGAGACAGGGAATGTGAAGTGTGCAAGAAAGAAGAAAACTCCCTGAACTTTCTTACCACATAGAAGTAGATGGAAGCCAATATACACAGACCATCACACTGCATTATTATGTCCCACATACACTTCAAACCACTTTTAAAACACTAGTCTAACATCTGTTGGGGTCTAGCCTAAATCCTCTCCCACAGTCTAAGAAACAGTGGTACTTTTATAACCTTTTCAGCGTTTCCAAGGGCTCCTTCCTGTCGATGACCCCAGTGTCTGGATTAACAGTTGTTAAAATACACCTGCAATGACAGAAGTGTCAAATCAGTCAGGGCTTCTTATCATAAACTTTGTTCCTATGTAAAATAAAGGTCTCCAATGTTTACCTGCCACAGCACACGGTCCCTTTCATCTCCACATCACCAATAAGAACATCCTCCCAGGTGTCCTGAGAGAAGTAAACATTAGGCACACATCAGATAGACACAAGCACATGCAATTACTTTTCCAGAAGTTGCAGAGTCATTCACAAAAAGGTGCACCATTCCAGATTATCACCTCTACTAGCACCTTCAAAATATGCATCGTTACACTACAGTACCATAATGAAAATCCTACTGTCATTGCATTTATCCAATCCAGGACACACTAATAATTCTATCCAAATAGAGAGACACACAAGTAATGAATCTTGTCCTGCAACGTACAATTGTCTGAAGCACTGAACCTAAAGCAATTTATTCTCACTGTACAGGTGATAATCTGATCTGTGACTTCTGGTAAATCTACAGTTTTGTAGAAAATTTTTAGGGGAAGTAAGTTTTTGCTTCTCATCTACACAAGCTTTCTATTGCAAACCCTCCTGTGAGATAAAAATCCATTCATGCTTTAGGACCTTCTTCAGTTTGAGAAATAATCATTCATAGATTGTCCTGTGTCCTCCATCAATGTTCCACATGCACTGATGTAAGCTGAAGCTTTATCTCTCTGGAACTGAGTTGTAAAAATCATAGAATAGCAGCTTTCCTCACCCTTGTTGGCACCATCACACAAGGCAACCGAGTTACAAAGAAACACATCAAGCCTTCAAAAAGACATTTAAGTTATTTTACCTCCTCAAAAGCACTGCAGTCTGTTACAAAAATATTTGGCCTGAAGTTCTGTATCTTAGCTTTCTTTTCCAGCTTGGAATTTAAATCATCCATTGAAGCTTCAGAGATGATCAAGACTGGGCTGCAATCAGGATAGGCAACCTACAGAAACAAACATCACCAAATCCTAAGGTTGCTGTAAGAGCATGAGAGGAAAGTCACTGCATGGTAAAAGACAGGCATTGGAAACAGTGGCCTTTTAGGCTACTCATTCAAGTTTTGATTTTCCTGAAAGTAGGTTAACAAGGAAAACAACATGCTCTTCCCTATTTCAGTCACCATGGCAATTTTTGTGAGCTTAAATTGCCTCATCACAACACCAGAGGGAGTTCCACATCCAGAACAGCCCATACTCAATTCGTCATTCTGGGATGCCTGGGCAGTGGGAGGGCCATATTAGCAAACAAGGCCAATGAACTGCATTTAAAAACCTCTAGACCTCCTAGAAATGGAGTTGCACAGAGGTGGGGGGTGGGGAAGAGAGACATTTTGGTAAGAATTTTAGTATATAACCTTCCCGCCTTTATTCTTTATTCATTCTTGTACATGCCTTTCAACCACAACATGGTGAGCACTGAAATAACTAGCCAAAATATTCTGCCTTTTCTTTCTTGCTATGATTCCAGAACATCACCCCTCCTAATCTGACATCCCCTTTGCTGAAACATTGTGTTTGTATTGGTCTCAGTGCCCTTACATAACAAATGCATATCTATTAAAGTCTATTATTTAATATACCTTCTTCTCTTTGCACAACAAGCAAGACACTGATGCCCTATAGATAATAGCATCACTAAAGCAAGGTACTCACGATTTTAATTGTTTAAAAATCTTACATTTGATACAATTCAAAGCATCTTCACCTGAGAGAGTTGTTCAGAAATAAAGAAAGGCAGCAGTGGCTAAAATGATATGAGGATGTCTGAGCACAGTATCTCCTTCCCATGATACTTCTCTAATATCATACCTTCAAGCCTCTTCCAAAGAAAGAAATAAAACCTCAGAAACTTCCTTTGAATTTTAATTCCTAGGCTCACAACTACAACCAGCTTGTTCAAACATCACTCCTTTAAACCAAATACAAAATGACACTTGTATCATTACACTCCCAGATTTAACAAGGGATAGGGAGTGGAATCTTTCTGTGCAATACAGATTACATGACCAAAACATCATTAAAGGTATAACTCTTTTCTATTCATTGACACACAAAATGGTATTGTATTCTGCAATAAAATAGTTCCTCTTCAAGTATCAGTTTCAGACTCTTTAGCTGTGAATAGTCAATAGCTTAAAACCAATTTGAAGTAAAAATTAAGCAAGTCACCTCTTTACAGAAAAGAATACTCACATGGTTTTAGTACATAACTACACACCTTGCTAAACTGGGCTCACTCACCAAAAGTGAAAGGGGCAGGTTCTGGTGGGTGGGTGGAAATGGTTAAAGGAACACACTTCCCAGAAAAAGAGCATTCATTTACCTCATCTGTGTTTCGGAAAAGGGCTATTGTGTCCTTTGACTTTCTTGGGACCATGGAGGGCTCAAAGTGCACCAGTCGACAGGGCTCTGTGTTCAGGAAGGTGGTGATCCACTGAGCCACTTCATCACCACAGTCCCTGCCTTGGATATCCTGTCCAAACACCCTGGAGAGTCACAACACATCAGCGAGTTAGCTGGGAAAATGAAGGTTCAAGGAAGCTTCTTATTTGAAGGTAATAAACATCTTTTAACAGTGGCAGCAATACACAGAAAACTAGTAATTCCCAGAGGGCAATCTGCTTGTGGCCACTGTGTTTTTAAAGCTAAGGAACATGGACATGATCAAACAACACCAGCTGGTGGAAGAATGAGCTCTGAAATAGTGTTAATGTGCCCAGAGCTAACTGCCCCATCAGTGACAGTAACAAACCTACCTGCTTGCCTTACTTAGAGGGGAAAAAAGGGCCTGCTCTTGCATTTGCATGACTGCTACAACAAACGATTTCTACTGAGAAATCAACTGAAAGGTAACTAATCTCAGGAAATGAATGACAGTTTGAAATGACGTGATTAGTTATCACAACTGATGCGTACAAATGTTATTAATTAAAACTGTCCCTAACTGCTAAGGAAACTTTCTTCAGATTTTAGTGCTGTCAAACTTTAGCCAGAGATGAGTGAGACTCTTCAGCTCAGATTTCACATACAAAATAGCTCAGCATCTTAAGAGAGGTTAAAGATTTGTACTGGAAACAAAGTCCATGGGGCACAAAAAGCCACTGTCAGTAGAATACAAACAAGTTTATGCAAGGAACATTTTCCTGGCAAGAAAAGCTAAACCTTGACTAAACTTTTTGATAGACTTTAACACCAGTCATGAGTAGTTTTATTACATTTTTCAAAGTAGCCATTTTGGCTCAAATGCATTGCAGTTTCATATCTGCAATCAAATCCTGGGCAGCTTGAAGCACTGAGATGCTCATACCGTTCATCTAGAGTGAGCCCAGCGCCTAGAAGCCCTTCTTTACTTTTACTCATCTGGAGGAGTGATCATTAGGGTGCTGGCATTAATATCCCTGCTCCATTTGCTGGGATTCCTGTGTCTACCCTGTAACACAGACTGGAATTAAATGTCATTGCTCCAGACATTATTCGACTGCCTTTCTCCTCCCTCCATCCCACAGTTCCTGCATGCTTTCTGACTGGCAGGACAACAGAGGCAAGGCTCTTAGAGCTTCCAACACTACTGCTTTCCACTCAGGAAGCAGATCTATCCTAAGCACTTCGTGCTGTAGGGATCCATGGGACTAGATCACACAATTTAAGTGTTACAATACACACTGACAAAGGGCAGAGATGAACAGCACAAGGTTTCTCAGCCGGAGGGAAACACTCTAGCATTTGCACAAGCTGAAAATACACCTATACAATGGCTTTGGTCCTATATTTGACTCTCCCAAGTACAGGATTTTTAAATACCAATAGAAAATGTGCAAGTGGACTTAGCAGTTTTCAAGATCAGCACATGCACAGCCGTATGCAGCCAGAGTCACAAAAGCACTGCTTGATAACTTTTCATTACTGCAATGTATAGACTGTTTAAATATTCTTCCAGTGATACAACAAATTTTAGAAAAATGACATCTTGCAAACTGCATGGTTTTGCAGTGCACGTGCCATTGGCTAACACATAGGCATTATGCACAGGTTTGTAAAAGTCTGTTCCATTTTTCCAGGAGAAATGCTACCATTTGGAACTTGCACCTGCCTTGTATAAACAGAGATATGGAGCTATGCTGATCAAGGGCTTCCACAGCAACAGACCTATGCTAAAAGCAAGCAAATACAGTTCCTTGCCAGCACTCTTTTAGTTACAATTACAGCAGCTGATGCATTAACCATTTCTGCTATCCAAAGAACAAACACATTATCTTTGTAGGGCCTCGCACCACTTAAGAATTTCTAAACAATTAATTGACATATTGACATTTTATCAGAGAAAACTTCCTGCTGGCAGTTTTCCAGCACAGATTTCTATACATAGATAAAATAACTAGGTCTGCAGTCATACAAGAAAACTCTAAGCACACAGTCAAATCACTGTTTGTAACCCATCCACCTGAAACTCCTTTGAGGTACCAGCTACAGGGAATGCCTGAAGTCCCTAGGATGCTGGTCTTTCCCTTGTGACCTCAGGGTGAGCCTTGGACTACCAAGTTTTTAACTGAGGCACCTCAGTTAAATGGCTAAAGACAGGGATCAGGGAATCTGAACTCCAGCATCTCACCAGCTCTGAATGGCCAGTGTGCGTGCAAAAATGCTGATGCACATAGTAGTTGTGATCAAGAAATACCAAAGTGCATGACTGAGGTTCTGAGATGCAGCTGCTCACCCAAGCAAGAACAAAAACACTAGAAGTAAAAAAAAAATAAGGAAACATGACATTCTGTGAAGACAGAAGATCACAGTTCATTTGGCAGATGTGTAATACATGGTCTTTAATACTGCATCGTCTTTTCCTGAGATTTGTTTTCACCAGTTTTTAGCAGATTAAAAGCAAAGCTTTTGTTATGACAACCATTCCTGGCCTCCTGTGTAATACGTGGCAGAGGATTTCACAGAATTACAGAACAGTCTGGATTAGAAGCAACCTTAACGACCACCTAGGACAACTCCCCTAGCATAAGATGGGGCACCTTCCACTAGACCAAGGTGTTCAGAGCCTCATCCAACCTGACCTTGAACACTTCTAGGGATGGGGCATCCACATCTCCTCTGGGCAACTTGTGCAAGTGCCTTACCACCTCCACAGCGAAGAATTTCTTCCCAATGGCTAATCTAAACTTACTAAGACCACCATGCCTTGTCTTGCCAGTACAGGCTCTGGTTCAAAGTCTATCTCCCTTAAGCAGACGGTGAGAAATACCCGCACAGAAAAGACATAGATGTACTGAACTTTAACACTCCAATTTCTGCATAAGAAAATGCGAAGCCTCACACACTCTTGAAAAGAAAAGCACATGAGGAAGACAGTACTGAGAGAGAGGGAAGGGGAAAATTAAAAGCCTACTTCAGTACCTGCAGTCGCGGACGGGGTTTTTCTTGGGGAGCTGTATAGGCACACTTATCTTCTCCATGTCCCCGGCCTCCAAGATCAGGTTCCCGTCATCACAGTTGGCAGAAATAAGGACGAGCCGCGGTTCCTGGCGAGCTGTCACCATGTGCCCGTCCTCCCTGACCACGAGCCAGAACCTGCGGCGGGACGGGGCCCAAAGGCGCCCAGTAGCGTTAATGCCGGGCTCCTTCCCAGGCAGGCCCTCAGGAAAACCAACACCCGACAGCCGCGGAGCTCCGCGCCCGGCCCGGCCCGCCTACCTGTCCCGCAGCTCCCCGCTGCGCAGCCCCATCGGCGTCACCTGCGCCCGCCGCACCGACACCCCCCGGCACGACTTCACCGGGTACACGAAGAGCCTGAGCACCGTCCCGACCCGCTGCAGGCGGCGGCGGCGGCGCGGACCGGCCCAGCGCCAGGCCCCGAGCAGGGCGCCCAGCGCCAGCACCGCCGCCGCCCCCCACAGCCAGCCCTGCCGCGCCGGGCCCGCCGCGCCCCACGGGCCGCTCATGGCGACTGGGCCCCGCTGAGCGCCCGGAGCGGCCTGGGCGGGGGCGGCGCGACCCGGCCCCTCACACCGCCCTCACACCGCCCAGCCCTTCACACCGCCTCCACACCGCCCCTCACACCGCCCGGCCCCTCACACCG